TTGATAATACTCCCATTTCTTTTTACTTTCACTTACCTAGAAATTATGGTTGGAAGCTATATGGAAACAGCCGAGAGTGCCTGAGCTTTGCTAATCTTTCCCCTTATATCCCCCAGATACCCAATACCCCTCTGTTCAGGGCTTTCATATTTTAGTTTAATTTTCATATATTACACGTCCATAATTTTTTTTAATGGTTTTCACGCGAAATGTTGAGGATCTACTAATATAAACCTAATAATATACAATATTTGCTAATGTCGAGTTATTTTTTTAATGAGTTTCATGGTAAATGTTTCCGGCAAAACTAAATTTTTCAAAAGATCTATTTTTCCCCAAAATCATTATTATTGTTTGATACTATACAAGATTGTAAAAGAAAATGGGAATTAAAAAAAAGAAAAAAGAAAGAAAAAGGGTCTTGGGTTCAGTAATATTTAGGGAAAGCACTATTTCTTGTCTACCCTTGTGCAAGGAGGTAATTTGACAGAAATCATGCTCAACCGTGAGGTTTTTCCCCTTAATTATTTTAATTAAGGGTACCCACTTTAAAGAGGCTGGGTGTGCCGCAGGAAGGTCTACCCCATGGCCAATGAAACGGAATAAATAATTTTTCTGCCATGAGTTGGGATTTGAAACTGGGACCTTTAGCATTGGAAGCTCAGTACCCTACCACTGAGTTACCCCACTCCCCAAATGGAAATTTATGCAAACATATAAATTTAACAGATTCGATGGGCACGAAAAACATGGTAATTAATATTTTTGAATGAAGTTATACCCTCGTTTTTAATTTGACTTCCCTATATATAAAAATACTTATCTACTCTTAAGGTTGGTAAGTGAAAGTTGTGGGATGTGCGCACTAAATCAGATTTTTTTTTCCCATTCTGACAACTCCTTATACATCTCAATTTATTACAATTCTAAACAATTTTTTCTATTTCACTTATTTTTAATTTCATCTTATTTTACAATTATTTTCCTAATACTCATACATGTTTATTTAATTAATTTATTGTTATCAGACAATATCCCCATACTTATAATTTCCACATTAGAACAAAAGAGCACCAATAATTTTTCTGCTTACTTGTTTAAATTGTGATTTATATTTGATATTTTATTCTCAACTTTATTATTATTCTTTACTCATCATCATTCTTTGTTTATTTTATTTCTTCTAAACATATTATGTCATCTTACAACAATTACCACATCTTATTTATATTATGTACTACTTATTTCTCAGATGTATTCATAGTTCTTAATATTTGATTTAATTTTTTCATCATTTAATTTTTATTACTTCGTTTATTTCATTACCTTTTATTACTCTTTCTTTGATATCTTTCACTTTATTATTTTTCATTATATATTACTGACATTTTCAGACCTTACCATTCCTTATAATACGCATATATTTTAGTTTTTATTCACTTCTTAAAATTTATTTATTAGCAGATAACATATATTTTGTCCCCATATCCTTTTACAATAGTTTTTTTTAATAATTTGGGTTGTTAACTTGTGTTTTCTCAGCCCTGATGTAGGCCTGCAACTTGGGTCGAAATGACTCAAAATGGAATAAAAACCTTTTATTTTTATTTGTGTGTTCTCTCTGACTGACTTCCAACCAACATCCCAACTATATTGTCTACAGTCAACAATTTCTTCAACATATAATTGTTTATCATGGGCGATAAATAGTCAGGACCCAGTCATTTTTAATGTTTTTATTAGTACCAAAGTTTCAACCCAAACTTGTGGGTCATCATCAGGGTGTTTCAAGCACTGAAGATATTCAAGTACTAGGTATACAAGTCCAGTACTTGAATACCTTCAGTGCTCAAAACACGCCCTGATGATGACCCACATCATAGGATTGAAACGTTAAAAATGACTGCGTCCTGACTATTTATCACCCACGATATGTATAATAGTCGACTAACTTCCTTCTATAATTATTACCAATATTTAGTTTCTAACATTTGGTTGAAATTGGGTCCTTTTTTTTTTTTTTTCTTTTTTTTTAATTTAACGGTGTAATCAGGGAAAGAATGGTAACATTTGAGAAAAAAATACATTATGTATTTCATCGAACAAGGGTAATTTATAGATTATCTTGCCTTAATTTATGTACTGTTAATGTAGATAAATTAACCACAAAGTTGTGTTTTGTAGAGCAAATAATTTATAACTAAGCAAATAAGACTTAACTAAAGTTATCACGAGGCTTGCTACGTTAGGGTTGGGCAATCCTGTTTTAAAAAGAATAGATATTGAATTAAGTATTTTAATGAAATAAGGGTCCTTAGATAGTTCAATCAACGTCTTTAGATACTGAGTCCTGTAGCTCCACGTTTCAAAATTTTATGATAATGAAAATAACATTTGATGGCTGCCAGGAGCTTTCTTTGAATCTGTAAGAATTCATCTGAGAGACATGATAAAGGAATCATTTCACCCATTCAAATATGTTTCTGACTTATATCAGAAGAGAATCTTGGATAACTCCATGAAGCCTTGCCCACTTTAATTTAGTTTTTCTTATTTACCAGTAGCTGTACTGCTTACATTTTTACTTTCACTTACATCATGAAACTTTTTGAATCTCAGTTTTCAACGGAAATACACCTTTTGAGGTCTCCTGAGTCCAAAAAACCAAGTCCTGCAAAATGGTCTGTGTGTATTAACAGTCTAGCTCAAAAACGAAAAGTGGTATGCTAGTAAAATTGCATATTTAAGGTTTTTATATGCTAGAGATGTTACAGCAGCTTTTTCGTAAAAATCGGCTAACCGGAAATGGCACTTTATATAATGAACTAAACACATTTTTGCAATTTTCTCGAAAACGGCTAACAATTTTGATTAAATTCATCATATCAGTGTAAAATTGAGTAGTTTTAAATAAAATGTTTTTATTCTGATTGATGCTTTCTAACAGAGTTTAAATGGCTAATTTTGAATATTAGCTTCCTTCAAAGTACCTTTAATTTTTTTTTATTTGAAACAATTGACCATTTCACATTAATCTCTAATATAAAAAATAGGTCAATATAAAATATAAAAGAATTTGATAATTAACTAAAGGAGAAATAAGATATCGTAATTGAGAATAGTTGTAATCAAGGAACCAAAGGAATATGACAGCCCGAAAGATTGGAACACGCTTCCATACATAATATGAGCTTAATATAATAAGGACTTCGACAATATTAAGTAATATATGGTGTTGATGGTATTATTAAATATTTGACTGTATAAATGACTGCAATATAAATATTAAAATTTGTATATGTAAGGGTACTTATAAGAATAAAAATACCCACAATAAATTGTAAATCAATATAGCGTATGTAATTTTTACTTTCACTTCCCCTTTGTCTGAAAATACTTATTTCTGCTAAGAAGAGGGTGATAAGTGAAAGTAGTGTGATGTGCGTACCATATCAAATTTTTTTTTCAGTTGGCTTTACAGACACTTTAGATCTTTTGCTTCCTCAGCCAGCCTTCCCTATCTCTTACTGTCTTGGACTATAACTTTTCAGTTATCTACTTGCAGCTCTGTGGCATCTTTGTTGATTTTATCTATCCATCTGTTTTTTGACCTGCCATGTAGTCTGTTGCCTACTATTGAGGCATTCGTTGTTGTGTAGAGGCTTCTTGTTGGATCGCTCCAAGCTGTAGTTCTTTATTAAACCTTCTCCTCCAAGCATTAGTACTCTACTTTTTACATAGCTCTTTGTGAACCAAGAAATACCTTATCATTATTGATAATCTGTAAATTAAGAAATGCCTTCTTCAAGTGCCTTCAATTATAAATAATTCTCTGTTTTTAGCATCAGTAAAACTTAAGATCATTGCACTCTTCTGAACGTCGCCCCTCCCATCTGATCCCTTTACAGCACATTTCACTTACAGGTTAAGCCCAAGCATAATAATCTCTTAACATTTGGGGGTCTGACATTCACAAATTATGTAATTTACTTCTCGCCGATAAAAAAAATTTTATTCTTAAACAATTTCAAGTATAGCATGTTTGTAAGTACTAAACATATATATTTACTAAGTCAACAAAACTTACATTTTCCTTCAGTGAAATAAAATTAACCTAATGAGAAATACAAGAGTATGAATGGAAATTTACAAAAATAAAAACATTAAAATGTTTTAAAGATAGGAGAATTTTCATAAATCTTTATTTCAAGATATGGCCACTTCTAATTAAATGAAATGATGAATGACCTCTGTGTAGTCAAAATATGTAATTTCTACCACTACTATAATAAACTGTTCAAGAAGAATATAAACCCTACCTTCGTACTTTGCAGTCTAAGAGGGAAATGGAAAGCCAAGAAAATGTTGAACTTAATAAAATATATATGAGTCCTAATGATTTTTTTCTTTTTTGTGAAGTTGAATGAGCCCCTTCTATATAGTATACATACAGTAACTGTATTAAATATTTAATAGTTGACCATTGCATTATAAAGGAAGGAGATGGTCCGGGGTGCCAGTCATAAATATATTTATATATCACCCCCACCACGGATCATCTCCTTCCTTCAGTAACTATATTAGTTTTTTTAATTTGTAATATATTTGTTTTTTTTTTAAATAATTTCTCTAGATATTTATTGGTTTTCTTTATAATGTTGGTTTAGCATTTCTTTTGCTTTAACATGTTTTATTATAATTTATTTACTTATGAAATTTATTTTAATACATTCCTTTTGTAACTAATGAACTATATCTTATTTTTTTAATAAGTATTTTTTTTATTTTCTCTTGTTACTCTTTAAATTTGCTTTTATGTCATTAATCTTATGACTTAATTTGTTTGCTTTTAGACACTTTTTTCTTTTAAATATTAAATAGATAAGAAATAATATTTCACGATTTTTTTTTTATTATTAAATTTTAAAATATTTATCAGAATCATGTTTTAAATTTTACTTTTCATTACCTTTGTCAATTAATTTTATTCTTTCATTTAGAACGTTGATCAAGAACTCATTACCGCAACTGCTTATTTTGATCTTTTTTTAAGAAGTCTTACTGAACCAGCTTTAATATATTGTTTCATCAAGTTCATATTAGTTGAAACCTATGATGGCCAACGCTTAATTGATATATTGATTGAAAGAATAAATTGTTTTTCAAAGGTATGTATGCCTATTAACTTTAAAAAAAAAAAATTTCAAGTTTTTTTCCTAGTACAAAACACATTATATATATACATATATGTAATTTTTTTTATGTATATATATATATATATATATATATATATATATATATATATATATATATAAGTTATGATTATTAGTATGAGAAAGATTGAATCAATATTAGCAATGAGATTTTATAACTTTTTTATTGCAGATTAACCTTATCAAACAAAACAATCAATATCAATCTCGATCACATGTCAATATATCTTAACACTAAAACATATTTTATATTATGCTAACTTCCTTCTTAAGGAGGAACTCTAATACTTTAAACAAAAGAAAAACTGGTCTATATTTTAAATTTAAATGATAACAGAAAATACTTGCATTTATCTGAAACTTGAAGAATAACAGAACTGTTTACACATATTTATACCTATAAGCAAAAAAAAAATTGAAAAAATATATAAAACAAAAAAAAATTATCTAAATTGTACAAAACGCATTAAAACTAATTACTGATTTTTAACGACGTGGAGTTTCTTGTTGAGCGCCGCAGCCAGACTCGAGACCTGATACTTCTCAGGGTACACGAAGTTCTTCCAGATGTACCGTACGCAATCTGAACAGATATTTTACATCCCAAATGGTAAACAAATTATTCTCCCTGATGGTTATAATTTTATAGGGGCCCTCGTAGCGTGCGACAGTTTTATTTCTCGCTGTTCTCAGCCGCCTGTACACAGTTGTTCCTAATGTTAGCGGACCCTTGCTATAAACTACGGAGCGATTATTCGCGCGGTCCACGCGAGTCTGTTTTTCGCGAATTAATTTTTCTCTAATTTTTTTCCACGACGTCTGTCGTTCCACTCGAGCTTGATATAGTGCCTCCCATAATTTATTATTATTGGTTGTGATGAGATCTCCTCTGTCGCGTCGCCTTTGACCAAAAACGATTTCTACTGGAGATAAACCCGTCGCTGCATGTATTGTATTGTTGTAGGCAATCACTGCTCGCGGCATAGCGTCAAATGGATCCAAATTTCTTCCTAGTTTAAATAATCTAAGGTGTTCACCTAAAGTGTTGTGTAATCTTTTCACCGCACCTCTCCCTTTGATGTGATGGGGGGTGTTTAGTCGCCAAGTGATGTCCATAACTTTTTTATTGCAGGTTAACCTTATCAAACAAAACAATCAATATCAATCTCGATCACATGTCAATATATCTTAACACTAAAACATATTTTATATTATGCTAACTTATATATATATATATATATATATATATATATATATATATATATATATATATATAATATACTTTTCTTTCATTTCAGTGCTATATAATATTTCAGTTTTTATTTTTAATAAGCCAACAGTACACCAATAATGTTTTCACTTCCAATCCCTACCTTGAAATGACGACATTTCAGCTCATCAAGCCATTTTCAAGTCTAAAAACAATTTTTCATTTTACAGTTATTTATAATTTTTGTGTGTGTGTTAACTTTTCATACATAATCATTCACATAATTTTAAAAAACGCTTGCATATGTTGAAATAAAAAATTTATATTTACTTATCATGCCCTTATCGTTTATTTCATTTGTTATGTAACAATCATGTGTCTTCCTATAACAACTAGTTGTCATAATCGTCTTATCTATTTTATCGTTATCAGGTGTGTTTATTGTTCTAATTATATTTTGGACATCAGAGAATATATTTACTATATCTAGGTTTTATCTATTAGGTACAAGTCATTATTTGGCCTCCCAGTTGATAATATTCATAATATACTTTTCTTTTATAGTGGTGTCATCTTTTATGGTGTCATAAAATATTTCAGTTTCTGAAATGTGATGTACCATCATTTTTATTATGATATGGTACAGATGTTTATTTGGGTATTTGAAAGAACAAGTGGACTGTATTTAATGAAGTATAATTACATTTAAACATTGAACATAGATGGGGGTTTGGCGTATAATGGTTCTACAATCGTTTACTTGATGTGGCTGGATGCTGAAGTACGGTGGTCGGCCGGCTGCTACACTTCTCACCTCCATGTGTCCGGTAGGTCTCAGTGTTCTACTCCATGCCTCTTCCCATGGTAGAACAGCAAGAAAGTAATCTTGAAGAGGCTAGAGTATTCGTCTACTTCGTGTGGTTTTAGTCGCCCATTTTCTCCTACTGCTCGTTTTTGGTGCATACAGCGCCACCGTCGCTGCAATGTTACCAACTTCACTGGTCTTTTATGTACCCCATGAAGGGGGGGGGGAGTAACACCAATTTAGGGTGATCAACCCTAAACAGTTTCTATTTTTCATAAGCCAACAGTATACCAATAATGTTTTGACTTCCAATAGGAACCTTGGAATGATGACATTTCGGCTAATTGAGGCATTTTTAAGTCCAAAAACCATTTTTCATAATACAGTTATTTATCTTTTTTTTTTTTTTTTTTTTTTTGTGTTAACTTTCCATACACAGCTATTTGTATAATAATTCACATAATTTTAAAAACACTCACCTATGTTGAAATACAAAGTTTATATTTACCTATTGTTAACGCCGCATAGGCTTATTTCTTAATTTTTTCATTATTATTTTCTCTCACATTTACCTCTTTTCAATGTTAACAATAAAATGTTTATTTTTTATTTTTGTAAAAGTTTGAGGGACAATTGTCCCTAAAATGTATTTAAGTTTATGTATTTTTATATTTAGGCTTGTTTTGCGATGTATTATCGCTCATTTGTATACACACCAGCCCGGTAGTAATACCCTGTCTTAGGGATTAAGACTTCAAAATACGGCCGGGGAAGTCTGGAGCTGGCCTTCGTTATGGGCCCACGTAGTGGACAATTTCTCTCACCTTCCCACCAGCTGCTCCAGTTAACTAAACCCCACCGGCCTAGTATCAGTGCCCTGTTGTTTTTTTCGGAAGTCTGGAGATAGCTCTTGTCGACATTAGACCCATGTAGTGGAAGTCTACCCCCACCAATCTCACCAAGCTCCAGGCCGTCTGATCTCGCAACATCTCACCTAGCGCCATTTTCGAGGATCAGCTGTAGTAATCGATACATATCGATACGACCCCACCATCGATTACTGGGCAGCTGGAGATCGGAAGGTAACAGGTTGGAGGCAGAACCTCCAACTTGGCTTGTTGTGTTTATTATTCTCACCAAGACATTTGAACATTTAGTTAACTGTTTTCTTCCCTAAATTTGTTTTATTCTTCTCTTGTTTTATTTACAATTTTAGAAATTGATTTTTTTCTTTATTGATAATGGTTAATTTCTTTTTATTTTTCCGGATGTTGTATTTATGTTTTCATTTTTCTCGTAGCTTTTAAGTATTGTTTATCTCAACTTTTATATAAATTTAAATCTCTTTTTCTTTCTCAATAAATTGTAAACATTCAAAAGGGGATTTTTTTATATTCCATTTTTTTAATTTTATTGAAATATCTCTATTTTTTAAAATATTTTTTTGTGCATGTATTTGTTTTTTTTTCTCTAATGTTTTACAGGTCTCATTTACTCTTTTTTTCCTTCTTTCCCAACATTTTTGATTTTGCTCGAATTTTCCCCACCGTTGAGGAATCTCACCGGGGAAAGATCTGTACTTCGATTTTGAAGTACCCCTGGCCCCAACACCTATCATGTCCTCGTTTATTTCATTTCTTATGTAACAATCATATGTCTTCTAATAACAACTAGTAGTCATAATCGTATTATATATTATAAATCATTATTCTTATTCATTATTATAAAATTTATTTATATTAAGAGATTTATATAAATGTTAAAATACCATTTTATGAGTTAGCTCCTATGTTATCAGTTTCATTGTTACTCGATGACTAGTCGATATTATAGTAGTGGGTAGTAAGGTTTATGAAGTTATAATTAGAACAATAAACACGCCTGATAAGGATAAAAAATAATCAGAAATAGAGTAAATAACCACATAAGTGATTTTATCGACAAAAATAATAATAAACATAATACCTTAAATCAACCCCTACATAATAAAATTAACAAAGACTTTTTGAAACCATCCAGAATCACTAATAATGAAAGGAGATAAAACTGTGAAAATTACAAAAACTGAGTACGATAAAAAAAAAATGCACAACCTATTAGATGAATGCCTAATACATAGATGCCTTAGAAAAGATCCTTCTAATGAAATCCAGGATAAAACTTTAACATACATTAATAAGTATTAGAAAATGAAATTTATAAATATAAATGAAAAGGAAGAAAGAAAAACTTACAAAACAGACAGTATCCAATACCACGTATACATACATGGTCTCAGTAAATTACATAAAAATGACAGACCCCTTAAATCAATTGTTAATAATAATAATATATACGATGTAAAAAATTCGTTATAATTGATGGAGTAAATTAATAATATAAAAAAGGTAGACGAAAATGTATATTTAGTAAGCTATGACGCTAAATCTTTATTTACCAACTTTTCACGGGATGAAATATTTAAAATTCTTGAAAATAAACGGGATGAAACAGAACCTGAATATTTATATTCAGAAAATGAATATTTAGTAAGCTATGATGCTAAATCTTTATTTACCAACTTTTCACTGAATGAAATATATAAAATTCTTGAAAATAAACGGGATGAAACAGAACCTTATACAGCTATAAATGATAAAACAGTTTTTATGGAAGGAATAAAATTGTTATGCGAAAATAGCTATTTCTTCTATAACAAAACTAATGAAATGCTGATGGGCTGGTGCATGTCAATCAATCTCTCGGGCATATATCTCAATAATCTACTTGATAATACAGTAATTAAAACTGAGAAAAAACTGAAGCTAATAATAAAGTACATAGATAATATCCTTACGATAATAAACAAAAATGAAACCAACATTTTTCTAGATAAATTAAATTCAATATCCAATAAACTTAAATTCGTTATGGCAATAGAGAATAATAATAGAATAAGAT